CGTTACGAAGAAAAAAAAAAGTGTGCATACAGACAGGTATCCTTTGAACTATGGAGAAAAAGATGTTATTTTCTTCACTGCTCCTTAATTACATATTGACCTTAATTTTTATTGCCTAATATTGTTTGTCTTGTGTTTTCTGGTTTTGTGGGGGGGTTTTTTTGGTGGTATTTTGGTTTTGGGGTGGGGTTTTTTTTGTGCTTTTTTTTTTGTTTTTTTTAAACCAACGTTAGGTACATCCATGGGTCAGACAAAGTCTGAGGTTTTAAGAACTGTACATAGCAGTAACACTGAATGTTCAAAGGCACAGCCATTAATCTATTAAGGCATTTAAATCAGGTAGTACCACTGAAATAAAGTGTTCCATGGCTTGTTCAAAGGCTTAGAAATTTTCTGTGATAGAACCAGGAACTGAGCTCAGACTTCCAGACTCCTTGCTTTGAGATTAAATGCAAACCTGTCCTTTTTTTTTCCAGAAGAGGCCACTTTTCCACAGGTGTTAGGGCGTGGATAAGACCACAGGATGCTCACAGACAGCACTGGAGAGCTGCTGGTGCCATTGTTCAGAGAAATAAAAGAGAGGTCATGACCACTCATCAATAAAATGTCAGGGCTCCACCTGTAAGAGTAATGGCACCAGAGCCAGATGCATAGGTTCAATTCCAATCTAAGTGATTACAATCTGTCCCTCTGTACTTTCTCTCCCGTTTAGTTTGAATATGAACTTTTCTTTCAGCTTTCTGTCAAATCATTCCTTTCTGCCCTGGGAAAAATAGCTGCTTCTGCCCTGTATAGATATTACATGTAAATCCAAAGTAGTGGTGACTGCCTAAAGGGGCTTTTTGACTTCATAGATAGGAATAGCTAGTGAATGTTCGGTGCTGCACTGCTGATCTTCCCTATGACCAACCACTTATATAGTTTAATTTTTTGGATGTTGTATCTTAATATGGAGAAATACCTTCAAACTTCCTTCTTCCTCTTCACTGCATGACATTGAAGTGGCAAGCAACAGCCTAACAGTTGATAGTGTCTGTGCATGTCCTCGCAGCACCTTTTGGCAATCCAATATTCATAACATGCTTTACTATTCAAGTAAAACATTTGTATGATGTTTTAAAGTTACTTATTAACCTATGAATCAGGTACAAACCTCATGATGGAAACTATTTAACAGAGAACACCAGAACAAAATAGCTTATGTGTCTCTGGAAACATAGCTACCTACAGAAAAGTAAGAAAGAGATATTGGGTAACTGCCACATTGGCCTCTCTCTCCATATTCAGTTCCCTGAGGGCTTTGTCCCCCACACTCATCCATGTCAGGAATTTCCTTTTGTATTTTACTGACCCAGCCCAATCACTATTATGGTGTCATCTGGCATCCAGATATTATTGTTTGCCCTTTTGTCCCCCTTGCCCCCCCATCTTCTTTTTTATGGCTAGCACCAGGGTTATTTATGGCAGTGTGTTAAAAGCTTGATATGGTGTTAACGTACAAAAGCATTTTTCAAGAGTTAGGACAAAAATCTTTTAAGCACCCCTCCACCACCCATAAAACCTATCTCATTATATATAGAAAAGCCCATGCTTTTTAAATGACACTGCTGCTCTTTCTGGCTTTGGCTGCCATATTGTTCTGGCATTAACAGCTCCAGTGAAAGAGGTCAGACAGAAAGATGCTATGGCTTCTCCATATTTCTAAGGCTTGGGAAATTGTAGGGTGTCAGTTTTCTACCAAGTCATTTAGTCCAGTAAAACATGTGGAAAATGCTGCCACTTAAATTTCCCGGTGAATATCAACCAAATCTGACAGAGGAGCAAAATTATCTGTGATAACAATATACCTCTGGCATATTCAGCTAAGAGCAATAAATTCAGACATTGAGAGAAGAGGAAGGCAACTGACAGGTAGACATATACAGAGAAAATTAAGCTGTAAGACTTGCTTCCTTTAGAAATTCCTGAGGAAATAAGTAATGGAAGGCACCACACATAGCTGGAATAAAAATGAGTTGTCTGCTGCTGTAGGAGCATGCTAGAGAATGATCACAAATTACAGGTGGAAGGAGAAGGTAAAAGAAAAAAAAAAAAGTGAAAAGTTTAACTTTATAGCTCATAATATACAATTTCATAACAAAAAATCATGTTCAATAGGAAGTCACAAAAGTTACAAGACAACAATATGGAGATTCACAAACACAAGAACTCAATGCACAAAATAAGTCTGTTGGAATTTTTCAGCCCTGCCTTAAACTTTGTATTAAAAAAACCCCAACTTTGATAAGGACTATAGAGTTGTTTATAGATGCGGTTTGCTTTCACCCCCTGAAGAATGATAGGAAGAAAGCGTGACAGAGGTAGGGGAAAAAGGTCTGCTGCCTACAAATAATGACCCTGTCTGTAGTGGAGAATGGGGGCTGAGACTTGGTCGTGTAAGAAAGCTTGGGAAGAGTCTCAGATTAAATATAGGAAAAGAATGAGTCCTTACTGTCATCTGTCCAAGTACAGTCATGAAATTGGCAATTATTGAACCAATGCAGAGCAAATAGGAAAATCGCCTAAGCATAGCTGGTCTAAAGAAACTTTCATTACTCCCAACTTCAAGTAAACATGATCTCAGAGACACAACACTGCCTTTTCAGCCCTTGGCTTACCAAGCTGCTGGGTACATCACATGGCATCTTATACCATCTAGTGCTTGATCCAACACTTAAAAGCTCTCAGCTGTTCTGACCCTCAAGGTAGTGTGTGAAAGTTCACCAGTGGTGCTGTCAAGCAGGTTAGATATTCTGGAACAATATGCAGATGCCTTCTACAGTTTACAGACAGGGATTACATGGATGGCCCTTTCAGTACAAGATTCCTAAGGTTTTTTTTGTCTTTCCACCTTATGCCTTATCACTAAAAATCATTTCAAAATAAACACAGGGCATGGATATCTCCAAGCTTTGGGAAAATTTCAATAAAGACCTTGACTTTGTGACAATATTTCCTGGTTGGAGCCAGAATGAAGCTAATTTTCCTTTTACTGATTTTTTTTTTCTTTCTTTTTTTTTTTTTTTCTTTTTCCCCTTTAGTAAACTCTTTTTTTAAACTAGCAGCAAATGTTCCAGCTAGTGGACTGATAACACTGGGATTTTATGTTACTGCTGAGATGCCAAGGTCACTTTGCTCTACTTGTTGAGCCTGAAGCCTCAGATGGTACAGAAGCAGTAGAGTCATATCTGTAGCCCTCGTGTAGGACTAGGACTGTCTTGCTATATTATACACAAGTATTACATGCATCATAGTAGCTACTAATATATATCAACACATATGAAAATGTACTTTTGTACGTGTTCATAAATGTGCATGTGTATACATGTATATGTATGTGTTTGTGCACATTTATGGCAGCTGGATTAAAATAATTTTTATTTTGAGGGCTATTTTGTTATGTGTGTCTGTACCTCTATTTCAATGTTCCAGTTTCAAATTACTTAAATTCAGAATAATCATGTCAAAACTGCAGTCATATTGCATAACAAGCAATGTTTTTTAGTGAAACACACAGCTACAGTTGCAATAAAAAATGCCATGTGCTTAACTATGAGGAGCTGGATACCATGTACAGATATGTATAGAGTTTACAATTATAGCTTGCATTTATCACAGTTCTGGAATAAAGAATCCCAAACATAATCATAATGGCATTTTTATTTTCTCAGCCTCATTGCTAAAGGTTTATATGCTATATTAATTTTACCGCAGCTTTGTTTTCAAACAAAAGCGTTAATTTAAACACTTAATTTTTCTGACTTTTCTGAATTCCTGCTATTAATGAAATAGAGTACATGCAGAAACTGCTGAACTGTATTTTTAAAACTTCACTGTATGAAGAATCTGGCAACAACAGGTCAGGTTCATGCAATCAGATTTTCTTATTGATGTATTAAAAAGGCAACTATCAACTCTAAGTGGAAGTCTTCCTTTCCAGCTTTTTATAGTTATATTTTTTCCTTCAGCATTTCCTGTGACTCTTTTACACCTTCTCTTTTTCTAAGTGGTGATTTTTTTTTCTCAGTGATTTTTTCACAGAAGAGAAGACAAATGAATAGGAAAAGAAAAGAGAAAATGCTAAGGGACATAATGCATTAATATTATGTTTTTAGGAGGAAAATACACAGTTTTCATCATTTGAGGCAGCCTTAATGCAAGGGGGCTGTCAATGTACATACACAGGCCAACCTGCCATACAAGTGGTTCTGTAGCAGGAGGAAGAGCTACTAAAGAGGGAAAAGGGCTTGACTGACTGAGGTCTGTCTTGCAAAGGTGGCTGGGGAAAGACCACAAGTGGCTAAAAAAGAAGGGAGGAGAGAAATCCGTTAAATGATGAATTAAGTGATGATGAGGCAATCCAAACCATGGGGCTGAGGTTTGTATTTTCTTTTCTGCCAAAGGTAATTAATTTTATTTGCTGCTACTACA